GCCATCGAATAAAGTTAAAAATGAAAAATCGGTAAAGATTTAGCTAAAACCTTGAGAGTATCCTTAATCCTCTGCCTCCTAGTGGCCTGTCCCTCCGTATGTCTGCTGTATGCTTCATCGATCTCCTGGTCTTCTTCTCCAATGTGTCTGGTCCGCTGGATCTCATCCTCTTCTTCCTGTTCGGAGGACCATCCTTGGCTTGGTGGTCGTGGCAGTTTCCATGCCCTCCTCTCCTCGAGGTGGGTTCGGGGTGTGGTGTGCATATGGCAAGGCTCGGGGTCGTGAGCCTGAACGGGGGTATCGCCCGAGGCATGCCGATGCTCAAGAATCGGTCTGCTCGGTATCCTCCTAAGTATAGGGGATCTGCTCTTGGCCTCGCGGCCTAGTTCTAACCCTGCCCGAGTAGGCCCGGGGAAACTTGTAGGCCCACAGCATACATGACCCTGGGACGGGGTAAAAAAAATCGCGTAGTCGGTTCCTTAAACTATCCATCTTACGTAATTAGTTTATTGCCTCAACGTCTCGTTCTCCCGCCACAGCCGCAATTTTAAAACAGAAAAGCAAAGAATCCCGGACGAGCCCCCAATAATTCTGTAGTGGCCCTAGGGGTAGCCGCTATATGAATTATGTGCGTGTGAATGCACTATTGTTTTTGCGGAATCATTTCTTGCTCCCAGTGGTAAAGCGGGACTGTGTTGCGTGGCAGCAGGAGACAAACAAAAAGAGGCAAATAAACACAACGCAAGGTACTTAAGTATACGTACCCGTTAGTTTTATTGCTCATACACACACTACAGTTATGCAGTATCGTATCTGGTGGTTACCTGAGGCGTTATGAGTGCTCTGACTGCGTGACGTACTATTCGTCGTAACTATAATATTTTAAGGCCAGTGAACGGTTACGTGCAAAAATATAGGTTCTTCAGCGTGAACGCGAACCTGACGTATCTATTGAGATCTGTCGGGAGTGAGAATAAGACGTAACGGCAGGGGCGGATCCAGGGCTGAAATTCAGATAAGTCTAATAACTCCCATGCACCCACATTCAATTTGGACAATACTGTGAAAACCAGATCTGCAGATGTCAGATCAGACAATACTTCAGTGCACACAGCATGCCCGAAGGGTGTCCTAGATCAGCAAGAAACTCGCAGGTCAACCAGAGTCAGAAAACCTGTTGTGAAACTTAACCTGTGAAATTGACAGCAAGCCAAGACTTTGTTCACAACTGTGTGTTGTGTGTTCAGAAGACTTTAGAGATTGACTAT